TGATTTGAAACTGTCTCATTGCTATCTGTTTATCAATAAAACTTTGGAAAAAAAAAAAAAGAATGACGCTGCTTATGAACACCAATACACAGATCTGGTGTGGACCTATGTTTTCAATTTTCCTGGGAGCATATATAGGAGTGCAGCTGCTGAAATTACCTTTTGAGAGGCTGTTTTCCAAAATGGCTACACCAATTAAAATTCCACTAGCGATGTGTAAAGTCCTAATTTTACCTCAGCCTCACAATTCTCCTCTACTCTTGCAAAGCCCTCTTCTATGGAATGAATCCAGCCATGTACAGGCTATCACGCTTCCTATGACTGAGCTACATTCTCAGTCTTGTTTTTCCTTTTCTTAAAAAGACTGTCTCAGCAAAGCACCATGCACATAGTCCCAGCTGCAGTCTCCTCAGTGGCTCAAGCTATTAGGTGCATGCTGCTCTGCCTGGCTAAATCAATTTCTCAATCTCTCTGTCTGTCTGCCTGCCTGCCTGCCTGCCTGCCTGTCTGTCTGTCTCTCTCTCTCTCTCTCTCTCTCTGCAGAGCTGGGGATCAAACCAGACCATTGAACCTGCTAAACAATTGCTTTACCATTGATTTACATCCCAAACCCCAAACTCTCTTTTGTAGTTGGTAGTTTGACGGCAAGTATGAAGGTGCACAACTGTCATCACACCATTCTGAGAGGCCAAGGCATGAGAATCCTAACTTCTAGCCCAGCTCAGGCAACTGAGTGACTTAGTGAGACTTTATCTTAAAATAAAGAATGAAAACGGGTGGGGGCACTGGAAGGTAATTCAGTGCAAATGTCCTGGTATCAGTTCTCAGCACCAAAAGAAACAAGGAGGTCCTTGCAACCATATATATCCTACAATAGGCTTAATAAGAAAACTTGTATTTTACAAATAAACAATCATTTTTACATAAAGAATGTGAAGCCAACAAATAGTGCAAGAGAACTGTACAACTTCCACAATTTTTATTAATTAAAAAAAAATGAAGCCTCAAATTTTTCATGAATATGTCTTTTAGAGCTTTTATTTTTTCTTTTTTCCTCCTGTAGTACTAGGGAACTGAACTGAGGCCCTTCACACTGAGGTATGTTTCCCAGCCCTTTACTTTTTTATTTTGATACAAAGTCTTTCTAAATTGCTAAATTTTCCAGGCTGAGCTTCAACTTGTGGCCCTCCTGCCTCTGACACCCAGAGTATAGGATTACAGGCATGTGCCAAAATGTCTAGCTTATAGTTACTTTTTCTTTAAAATTATAGTAATCTGGGGGCCGGGGAGATGGCTCAGTGGAATAAGCGTTTCAGGACAAGGGTCTGAGTTCAATCCCTGGTTCCACAAAAATAAATAAATAAATAAATAAAATAAAATTATAGTAATTTGTACTCACCAACGCGAATTCATCTACATGAACTCTGGTTTTTTCTATTTCTCCACCTATGCATTTAGGGAGAATTGATGATTCTGCTCCTTTAGCAAATAAGAGCTTCTCACCTAAAAAGAAAAAAATAAGTTATCAAGCTCTTACTAGATAAATAACAACTCATAAAAGTTGAGACTGGTTACCTGAACATGCTTGAACAATTACACTCATTCTCCTACGATCTGAATCGAATTCCAGAACATGAAGCAGTCTGTATCTAAAGAAAATAAGAAACACAAAAACTTTACTCTTTAACATAATAAGTGATGATTTGGAAATACTAATTTAGAATAAGAATAAGAAATCGATGGGGCGGGAGAGATGGCTCAGTAGAATAAGTGCTTGCCTGGCAAGAGTAAGGGCCTGAATTCAATCCCCAGTTCTACCAAAAAAAAGAAAAGAAATTGAAGGTCCCACCAAATAGCTCAGCGGATTAAAGTGCCTGCAGGCAGGCGCTGGGGGAAGAGAGGGGTCATCACTAGGCCTGCCCTGCCCCCAGGGGTGCACTGAGACAGTGATTGAGACTGGGCGTGGTAGCGTGTGGCTGTAATCCCAGCTCTTGGCTGTAAACAGGTGGATCACTAGGAGTCCAATTTAGTAGTGAGACCCTGAACACCCTGTAGACCCTTCCCTAAAATTAAAAAAAAAAAAAAAACTGACTCAATTATATCTTCATTTTATGGGTTATGAGTCATTATTAATACTGCACAGAAAGAGAAGGACCTGACATTGTGTCTGCACCAAATGCCATTACTTCACCTATCTTACTTAAAGTCAAGGAAGCAGACCATTTATCCAGGTGTAGACTATTAACATCAGAAATATTAAGTAATTTGCCTAAAATAGTGAGCAGCTAAGAATTGGACTCCAGCTATTTTGCTCCATGTTTTTCTCACTAAAAGAAAGTGACTGATTCTCTATCATCTTTTCTTTTTAAAGAGAATACAAAATAGTAAAAAAATACAATTCCTAAACATCAGAAACAATGCAGAATTTCACTAAACAAAATAAGATTTTGACAATAACTGTTGTATTGTATAATGTCTTCAAATCAGTATACGTTACCAGATATAAGCATGAAAAATTGGTAAATAAAAATAAAGTTATAAACCAGGTTTGGTGGTGCATGCTTGTAACCCTAGCACTCAGGTCGAGACAGGAGGATTGCTGGGAGTTTGGAGCCAGCCTGGGCTTACAAGTGAGCAATTAGCATTACAATTATTCAAACTATCCTATATATACATAAATATATCTTTTGAAAATATGGAATGCTGAGCTGGGGAGATAGCTTGTCAATCCAAGCGCCTGCCTGGCAAGCACAAGGATCCAGGTTCGATCCCTGGTACTACATGCCGTGCTAGCCATGGAACCTGGGCATGTTGTGCTGGCCACAGAAACTCGATGTGGTGGTACATGCCTGTTATCCATAATCTTATCACTGGGGAGGCTGAGACAAGAGGATCACTAAGGCTCTGTGCTACATAGCGAGACCCCATACCAAATAAATAAAAAGATTTAAAATAGTAAGAATTTTAAAAAAATATGGAATGCTTCATGAATTTGCATGTCATCTTTGTACAGGGGCTATGCTAATCCTCTCTGTATCCTTCCAATTTTAGTATATGTGCTGCTGAAGTGAGCACTCTTTCTTTTCTAACATCTCTGATGACACACATATCAAAGGCTCATCACAGCATGAATTCTGAACAGGGTGTGCGTGTGTGTGTGTGTGTGTGTGTGTGTGTGTGGTATGACTTAGACATCTTCTGGGGTGAACCTTACTCAAATGATACACATATGGAATACATATCTCAAAGAAAAACAGTGAATTAAATTATGGTTTACACACTGATGAAATGTGCTAGACAAACTTCCACAGGAGAGCAGCCAGAGGGCTTGAGTCACATCTCAGTAGTAGAGAGCCTGACTCTCAAGCAGCATGCCCTAGGTTCAATACCGAAAGCACCAAACAAAACTAAGCAAAACAAAAACAAAAGCAAAAGAAAGTAACCAAAGAATGCACCACATTAGGTATGGAAAAGCTCAGCTTGAAAGAGATGTACATAAGGGATAAAAATCACAGAGTGTAAATATAATAGGCAAGAACTAATTTATTAGAGTAGAACAACTGGAAACAGACAACGTTTGAAACCTAAAATTACAGGAACTATAAGGAAAAGCTGGGCAAGGTGCAGAACATTGACAGAACACTTGCCTAGCAGGGGAGGGACTCTGGATTTGAGTTCCAGCACAGTAAAAGCAAACAGGAAATCATAAACAGTGTATTCATTATTCAGTGAGTAAAAATCTACGAAATCCAATCCCAAGAAAGACTAACCTTTAAGTAAATCCAAGAGCTAGTAAATTAAAATACTGATGAAAGATTCAGAGCATAATATTGCTGTAACTGTGATGAGATAGATTTAACATTGACATCATTCTAGGGTAGAAGTTAGCAAACTTTAATAAAGACTTAAATAGTAAATATATATTTTGGGCCATGCTGTATATTGTTTCTTTTTTTTTCCTCCCTAAATAATGCTTTAAAAATAAAACATAAAACAAACCAACAAACATAAGCTTATGGCTGTACAAAAACAGGTTGGAGGTCAGATTTTCCTGTGGGTAATAGTTTACTGGTGTTTGTTCTATATTATATAGCTAGTAAGAGTATCACAATATATGAAAAAAAATTACCGTTCCAGTTTTCCAAGTATTTTAATTTCCATTATTTCTTCAGAATTGCCAATAAATACAATGCCAATTCTAGGGATCAAAAGAACAAGAAATAAAAGATTTTAAGGGATATTTTTATTATATAGATTTTACAGTAAACGAATTTTTAGAGACCTTTAAAAACTTAAAATGAAGCCAGGTGTGGTAGTGCACACCTTTAATTTCAGCACTCAAGACACTGAGGGAGGAGGACTGTTGCAAGTTCAAGACCTGCCTGGGCTACAAAGTGAGCTCAAGGCCAGCCTGAAATATTCCCTCCCTCAAAAGATTAAAACAATAAATAAATTAAAATGAATTTATGCTTAAAATTTCAACATGATGATTTTTTATTATTCTAATGTTTACTTAAGAATTGTTTTCTGTGACTTAGAAAAAAAATCAGACTACCTTGCGGCAGCTTCCACTAGAGCCTTCTCGTCAGGGGAAGAGGCGTAGTACTCCAACTGGGAGGATGCCAGGCTGGACTGCCAGGGACCATCACCAATGCCGTCACTTTGAACATTGCTGATCTGCACAGTGTGGCAGAGACTGACTGCTTTGAAGAAGAGATCATGTCCTTTAAGCTGTAGAAACATAAAATTCAAGATACAAGCACCATTCCCAAATACTACTTAGGAAACCTGACAGGGTTCCTTTCACACTTCTTACTAGTGATTAAGCCTAGGACCTCATTCATGCTAGGCAAGTGCTTTATCACTGAGCTACACTCCATCCTTTCATTTTGAGACAGAGACCTGCTAAGGCTGGCATCAAATGTATGATCCTCCTGACTCATTCTCTGGGTAGCTGGGATAATAGGCATGGGCCACCATGACAGTCTCAGAGACAGAATTATAGGTGCTAGACCAAGAATGTCACAACTTGGATCACCTGAAGAAAAGCTGGCTGCTTCTGACTTCAAAATGTGAAATGTCACATTGGCTTCGAAGCCTTTAACATATGTGTACCTTTCTGGGAGGCAGAGCCAAACTGCAAGTAAAGCAGCCCCTTCTTCACCCAGGAAAAAGTGAAGTCTCAAAAATAGCATTAAATAACTTTAAGTGCTATTTCCCACTGAAGTCTTTTGCACTTCAAGGCAGTAAAATCTTTTTTAAAGTCAGTTCTATTTAAATACCTGAAAAACTTGAGAAGGCTCAAAAGTGATGAGTAAAACTTGGCTGAGGCCACATACTCTTACAGTTTTATTTTTCAGTATTGAGTCAAAGACATACATTTCAAATACATATATTCCTTGCTTTACTGGACATTAACTTTTCCGTTACCATCCATCAATTATTGAAAAGAATTAATTCATTTAAAATCCTCATGCACTCATTTAAAAATTGCTTACTAGTTCATTTTCATTTTCAGGACTGGTTCTAAAAGATGAACTGCTTGTCAGATGGGCTAAGTTGCTAAGGTGGGATAACCCACTAAGATAGGATAAGTTTCCTTCTGAAGAGTCAGGTGTTGGTCCTTCAGGGACAAGTCTCCCATTGATTTCTTGGTATTTTATGCCATTAATTGAACATTCCCGGAACTGCATCTCATTTTCTGTCAGTGTTCCAGTCTTATCTGTAAACACATAGTCCACCTGCAGAGATAGAAAACAAAAGAAAAGAAAGCTTTGTGGACATATTTCTATGCTACAAATCATGTCTCTTAAAGCCTAGTTGGCCTAGAACAAAATACCAGTGCTGAGATTCTACCAATGCAAGCACAGACCACAGAGGTGCCAAGGAAATCAAACAAGGTAACACCAGTATTTTAACTCTGCACTCTGGTTTACAGGGTCTTAGACACACATTCATGTGTACAGCAGGCTGAGAATGAGACATAAGAACTTCACTTCCACCTCCTGGTTAAGCTGTTTTATAAATAGAAAGGCTCAAGAATTACTGAAGTAAAGGTGGGAGGATGCTTAACCTAGGAAGTGAAAGGGCATCTGGGCCAGGAGATAGGGCACAGGGTGGGGACTGGTTGGAGGAAGAAGCTGTCCAACACAGAAACTGGGGACAGGAGATAAAGGCAATTTAAAAAAAATGTTTTAAGAATACATCTTAAAAGGTAGAGAAGACAAATTACTTTTACTCTTGGAGATTATTTCCAGAAAATGTACCCAGGAGGAAGATAGTCCTATCCCATTCATAAAGGCAAGGATACAACAGTTAAGTCTTGGCACAAGCAGAATTTCCCAAAGTGGTTTAGTTGCTGCAATGATAATTTTTTTCATCTAGACACCTGAACTCAAACCCAGGACCTTGTGCTTGCCAGACAGGTGCTTGTGCTGCTAAGCTATATCCCAGCTAAATTATTATTATTATTACTAATTATTATTTCCTGCGGAACCGGGGATTGAACTCAGGCCCTTGCACTTGCCAGGGAAGCGCTTATTCTACTGAGCCATCTCTCTGGCCCTCATCCATTGCTCTTGACTCAGATATAATCAATAAGTACCAAGGTTATAGCTGCCTCAGGCCTTTTATTCCCCATGAATAATTCGTCATCCCTGATCCCTGCTGCACCCATCATTTTTGTCTCCTTTCTTTCCCGCTATGCACCATGACATTTTGCAAGAGACTGGGGACTCACTACAGGGGTCTCTGATAACTGGTGCTATGGGAAGGGTTTCAATAAATATATTTAGGAAATAAAACAGAGTAAAGTAACACAGGGATTAAAGAACTGGGAGTAATATTAAAAGGCATAATAACATCAGTAAATAAATATTAAGTTCCAATTATAATATAACAATACTAATGGGCTTTGGAGAGGCAAAGTGAGCACGCTACCTGGGTGTGTGTCTATGAAGAGTAATGTTGCCGTCTGTCTATTCTGTAACACAGAATGTCTAAAACTTTAAAATAAAAAAAGTATGCCATGTAGAAATACACTGGTAAATAATGTAAGAAACAACATTTTTAATGGGAATAAAAACTAAGGGTGGAGGTGTCCAGGGGCAGAAGAGGTTTCTCTTTGCGGAGGCGGCGTGGCGGTGCAGCAAGCTGCGGGGCAGGAGCCATGGCAGGACAGGCAATTCGGAAGTTTCTCCCGCTGTTTGACCGCGTGTTGGTTGAAAGGAGCGCCGCTGAAACTGTCACCAAAGGAGGCATTATGCTTCCAGAAAAATCTCAAGGCAAAGTGCTGCAGGCAACTGTGGTCGCTATGGGGTCCGGCTCCAAGGGGAAGGGTGGAGAGATCCAACCAGTTAGTGTGAAAGTTGGAGATAAAGTTCTTCTTCCAGAATATGGAGGCACCAAAGTAGTTCTAGACGACAAGGATTATTTCTTGTTTAGAGATGGTGACATTCTTGGAAAATACGTAGAGTGAAGTAAATCACTGTTGAAGTGGCATCACACAACGCTGCCCATTCCACTGAAGTTCTGCATCTTTCATCATGTACATAATTTCCATGTCTCTTTTATAATAAACTGATGATATCTAAACTAATCACATATGTTCTCTAAACTTTAGTTTCACTGTACTGGTGTAAACACTTCCAAATAAAATATGTAAATGAGAAAAAAAAACTAAGGGTGGAGCAAAGCAGGGCTGTTTTTGATATAAACTTTGTATTAGTTTGTTATATTAGCTTTATATGTGCTTTGTCCCCCCACCAAAAAGAAAAAAGGAAAAGAAAATCTTAGGATCATCTTTACCTGTCCAAGTTCTTCATTCAGGTCAGAAGTATTGACTTGAGCTTTCTGATCTGATTCCTCATGATAGAGATCAAGATCCCAGCCAATAAAAAATGACCCAAGAAATTTCTGCATTTCAACTGTCACATATAATGAAATTGGAATGATGAAATTATACAGTACCAAAAAGGCAAGGAAATCAGAAATAAATTTCAGAATCTAGGGAGAAAAAAGGAGAAATGATTATTTCATAAAGGAAAATATGAGAATCTCTTCAGTATTACTGAGGAAAATGACCAGTTTCATGCATAAGCATAGGATCATCTATTCTGAGTTAGAATAGTATTATGATTTGAAATTCATTTACTGAATTGTAAATTTAGTAATTATAACTGACTTGGGAAAACTATAACCATAGGAATATACTTCTGCATTGTATTAGCCTTCAGAACCACGGACAACTAAAAATGGAGTGTAACTTTAAAAAGTTATTGCACAACTGCTAGACTAAGTATTATTTTTAATAGAGTTAGAAGTTAAAACTGATGTGTCGATGATACTGGCAAAGCCTCCATCAACAGCACAGGAGAAGCATGCTTATCATGCTTTCTTTCTTTCTTTTTTTTTTTTTGGCAGAACCGGGGAATGAACCCAGGCCCTTGTGCTTGCCAGGGAAGCGATTATTCTAACTGAGCCATCTCTCCGGCCCCTCATCATGTTTTCTGTAAAAGCACATTGTTAATGGATGAGAATGATGCTGCAAGCATGACCCTGTATTTATCAGATTACTGGCCTCTTGAGATTCAAATATGTCCTCCAATAGTATTTATATTTTAATCTATAGTAAACTTTCTAGAACAATTTACCATAACTGTAAGTTATATTCTGTTGGTATTCCATATTTAATCTATATTTAAACAGTTTAAAACTTTACATAATTTGTGAATTATTTTCTATGTATTATCAAGACTGACAATAAGACTTCTTGAATAATTCAGAAGGAACTGAAAATGAAATTCTCCTTAATTCATTTATAAGATACAGTAAATGGAATAGAAACTGAACCTGTACTGAAATGGAAAGCAAATACTGCTGGATTTAACTTCTGATAATGCTTAAAGTCATTACATAGGGAACACGCTCTCAATACGAAAAGCTCTCCAACAGAAACATGCTCTTTGTAGTGTCTTTTTGTCAGTACTCATGGTTTTGTGAGGTCACAAGTGCTCCTCCCTATCAGAAGTCACGACCAAAGCATTAACTGTGCCACAAACTGTTCTACATCAAAGTTACAAGGACCATAAAATACCTTACTACTATTTCTCTGATGCTCTGTTTTTTGGTTATACCAAGGTTCATCCCATTTTTCTTCAGCCTGCCATGTATATTTCAAAATAGTACTGATGATGGCTTCAGAAATAAGGATTATCAGATAAATTATCAAAAATGTGTTCATTGATCTGAAAAAATAAAATATAAAACATTAATGTGTATTACTATATCTGTCAGCTTAGAAATTAATATTTGTATTAAAGATATTAAAATATGTAAAGAATTACTATAGTTATTTTAAAGGATATAGTCTTTATTTTCAGAAAAAGTCAATTCAACATAATCTATTTACCAACAATAAAAGAAACAATACATATAGGTGTTCCAGTAGGTAATATTTTTGCAACTTTCTTTGCTATAATTAGTCTAAGATTTTATTTATTTATTCTAAAGATTTTATTTTTGTCTTTTATTTTCAGGGCCCATTTAATTGTAAGTGCAATAAATACAAATGATAATGTATAGCATTAAAATTGTACAAAATTTGCCATATTTGCTATTTTACTTCATCTTTATAAAAACGTTGTGAAAAAGGAATCACTAAGTCCTTTTAACTGACGAAGATCCAAGTCTAAAAATAATTATATAATTTATCCAAATCACGAGAAATCCATTTTAGAGCCCCTCTTCTCTTCACCAGGTAAGCTTAATGTGTCATATCTGATTTTAGGGTTAAAACCATACATTTCTAATACAATTAAAGAAATGATATCTCATTTAAAATTCAAATATAGACAAAATAAACAATATATAACAAACCCTCAGGCATCTCAGGAAAAATGCACATCACAGCATTGTAAAGGCTCTTACTGATGGGAAAGGCCTGCATTCCGAATTTTCTCTAGGCCTTCTAGAATTTAGATTTGTCTTTACTATGTAAGTAGCTGATATTCCGATGTCTTCCAACATAAATGCTACACTACCATGAGAATAAGGGCCTAGAGTTTTTTTTTTTTTTATTATTATTGTGCATTAAGCATCATGCTAGCACTTCATTTATAGTACTACTCACATTTTTAAACATGAAATCACCTGGTTCTACTCAATAAAACAATTGCATCAAGACCACATAGCTAACAAGGGATCTGAGGTTCAAACGTACTCCATATTCTGACTTTTCACTAACCTTACCATGTCTTTTATTCTCCCACACTGCCTGATCTATTTCTACCTTCTGCTTTTGCCATGCCTGTTTCATCAGACACTTTCCATCCTGCTTACACTGTGTAACTAATGTTTTTGTTTGTTTAACCAAATTTTAAATATTTAACTAAAAAGTCATCATCTTCCTAAATGTAGTCTTAAGTTTATTTTCAACTTTCTTTTGTTTAAATTAAAACTAGTGTCACACCCTGTAATTATTGTCTAATTTTTCATTGTGTATTAGTTTTAACTTCCAAACTGACTGGATACTCCAAAAGCAGGAAAAAATTACAGCCTAGAAAACCCAGCACTACCGTAGAGCCACAGGGAGGAAAAAAAAAAAAAAAAAAAATCAACACATATTTCTAGATTGTGTTTTTTCAAGAAAAAATGTTGTTGACAGTTTTAAAGTCTCTTACAATTCAGGGATAAGACTGGCAAATTTTTATGGCTATTAATATAACAACTCTCTTGGATCCTCTCTACCTAAGTATTACCAGTTTTCAATTTTTTTTATCCTAATATGATTAAAAATGTAGATCATTTCATGTATGCACGTCAGCTGGGTGCATGGGCCATGCTACATCCTTCCTGTTCTACTATGCATGTGCTGCTAAAGCAAAGACACATTTAATTTTATTTATTTTATTATTATTTTTTGTATTTTAGGGAAGGGTCTACAGGGTGTTCACGGTCTCACTACTAGATCCAACTTGTAGTGATCCTTCTGTTTACAGACTCCCAAGAGCTGGGATTACAGGCATGCACCACCATGCCCAGTCTCAATTGCCGTCTCAGGATGCCCTGGGAGCGGGGCCAGCAAGGCAGGCCCGGGGATTGAACCCCTAGCCCCTGTGACTGCTTACAGGTGCTTTAATACACTGAGCTATTTGGCCGGCTCCTGTTTAATTTTAAATGTAAAATATTTTTGATATGAAGAAAATTTTTTATCACAAAACTGAAAAACACGTAAGTAAAACTATAATAAAACATACATACCCAAGATGAACTACTGATATATTACCATTTTTATTTCATCTATATTTTTTCTCCATTCAAATTACCCATTTAATTTTTATTTATTTACTTATTTAGAGACAAGCTGTACAGTTCAGGTTGCCCTTGAACTATGTACCCTGATCTGGCCTCAAATTCCCGACCATGTGCCTGCCTCAGTCTCTCCAGTACTGGCATTACAGGTCGTGCCACCATACTCAGCTCTTCCTATTTTTTGTTGTTCTTTTATCTTGTCACGTCATTAACTACCTTAAAATTTGTTGTTTTTAAATAATTACAGGATCACACGAAGTTGATAAAACAGTAGAGTCCCTTAAAGCTAAGGCACTCCCTTAAAGTGTCTTAAGGGCCAGGGATATAGCTCATTGGCACGCTGCCTGCCTGACAGGCACAAGGTTCTGAGTTGAATTCCTAGTACCAAAGAAAGCATCTTATTATTTCTAAATAATGACTTACGCTTTGCAAATATTTCCTCCCACTCTATACCTTGTCTTTCCATTCTTGTTCTAACAGTCTTTCAAAAGTTTTAAATTAGTGAAAACTATTTATTAATCTTTTCTTTATTCAGTGATTGTGGTTTTTCGTATCACAGTTAATAACTCTGCCTACTTCTAGGTCCTGAAAATGTTCTATTTTCTTCCTATAGTGCCATGTTTTATATTAATGAATTTACTTATTCTGATGCCAGGGATTGAACACAAGACCTCACACATGTTAAAAAGATGCACTACCACTACACTATACCTCTAGTACATGTTTCAATATCTAATCTGTGTTCCATTTCAATTTATATACTATATGTTGTGTAAGGTTTAGGGCTTTTTTTGGAATACAGATATACAATTATTTTTAGCACCATTTGTTTTAAGATTCTCTTTCCTTCATGTATGGCTGTATGCCATTTCCCAAAATTGTCTATTTGTGTATGCGTCTGTCTCTTTTGGGGGTTATCTATTTTTACACCCACCAATAATAAATCCTTGATTTTTGGAGCTATACTGTCATATACTGTCAGTCTTAACAACAGATAGTGATTCTTCTCACTTCATCCTTCAATTCCAAAATTGTTAGAATTTGTTCCTTTGTGTCTCTACATAAATTTCAGGATAAACCTGTGTATTTGTTAAAAAAAAGCTGGAATTTTTCTTTCCTTGGCAGTACTGGCGACTGAATTCAGGACTGCAGTGCCCATGTTGGGCTTGAAGTTGTACCTTCCTGCCTCAGTCTCCCACTAAACCAGGGTTATAAGTTTCTACCGCAATGGTTCTTGCTGGAATTTTGCTAAGAACTACATTAATCTTGATCAATCTGGGAAACCTGGCATTTTTATCACATCAAGTCTTTCAATGTATAAAACATGTCATACTGTCTTACATAGCTGTCTTTCTCAGTTTTGTAATTTTTAGCAGAGCTCTGTATTTTGTTAGCTACTGGGAGTTTTTTGAGGGGACTATAAATGATCTTGTGTTTTTAATTTTGGCTTGTCTGACATTATTGTTTCAAGGTAATTTTGGCTTGTCTGACATTATTGTTTCAAGGCATTCTTTTTCAACAATGCTTTAGCTACACATCATGAAGTTTAACGTACTAGGTCTTCAGTCTAGTTCTTCAGTTGGACTTGTGCAGGACACTGGCATGGGACCCAGGCCCTTAGCAGGATTCCTTTTATCTCTCATGTGTGGACAGATCTCCTATACTCTTTTGCATTTGACTCTTTGGTGAATATTATAAACTAATCCTATAAATTATGTGTCTTGGCCACACATGGTGGAACATGCCTATAATCCCAGCACTCAGGAGGCTGAGGCAAGAGGGTGGCTACGATTTTGAGGACAGCCTGGGCTATGAAGTGAACTCAAGGCCAGCCTGACCTGCATCGAGAGACCCAGCCTCAAAAAGACCAAAAAAAAAAAAAAAAAAAAGGGGCTGGAGAGATAATGACATAAGCACATGCCTGGCCAAGCACAAGGTCCTAGGTTCGATCCCTGGTACTTAAAAAAAAAAGTCTCCAACTTAAAATATACTTAAGAATGGGCTGGGCTGGTAAGGCAGCTCAGTGGACTAAGCGCCTGCTTAGGCAAGTACAGAGACTGGGGTTTGATCTCTAGCACATGCTGAGCTGGCCACGGGGTATGGTGGCGCTTGCCTGTAATCCTAGCACTGGGGAGGCTGAAAACAGAAGGATGACTAGTCCAACAAGTAGTGTAGCAAGACCCCATACCAAATACATTAAAAAAAAATAAATAAATAAAGTATCTTGTGTTAAATTGTTTCCCTTGCAGAGGCTTGCCAGTTAGCTCAGTTGTTTAAAGTAGTTGCTTGGGCAAACTCAGTCAGGCACAGGGAACCATGGTTCGATCCCCAGCTCCACATGCTGCACCAGATTCTCCCTTAAGGCAGCCTCAGCCAGCACCCCCCGAAAAAAAAAAAATTGTTTCCCTTGCAAAACCTGACTGCAACCCTGTATTTTTTATTATTTTCTCAGTTAAAAAGGTTTTTTTGGGAGACTTTTTTGATTTATGCATTACTTAGAAAAGTCCCAGAATGTTTGATTTTTCTAATTTTAGTCATTTTAATTAGGTGTTTCTTGATATTTCTTATAGTATTAATTTGTATGTATTTGGTAGTATATGCTAACTTTTTCTCCCCCCCCATTTGTACAAATTTTAAACCATTTTTTCAAATATTTTATTCTTCCTCTTTTTTGGGGCGAATCAATTATGCTAGTCTACTGTCTCACATAGCTCTGAAACTCATGTTTCCCCATCTTTCTCTGTTCCTTAAAATGAGTAATTTCTATTGCTCTTTTTCCAGTTTACAATGTCTTCTGCTTTTCTCAAATTCTATGTTAAACTCATCTCATGGTGTTTATATTTTAGCAATTGTATGTATGTATGTGTATGTTTTGGGGGTTTTGTGGTCCTTTTGAGACAGGATTTACTATGTAGTTCAGGCTGTCCTTAAACTGACTTTGTAGCCCAGGTTGACCTTGACTTCTCAGGAATCCTCCTTCCTCAGTCTCCTGAGTGCTGGGGTTACACACATGTGCCTTGATGGCTGTCTTTGCATTGTATTTTTCAATTCAAGAGTTTCCACAGATTATTTTTTTATAGTTTCCATTTCTGAGTTTCTCATATAGTCATTCAAATTTTCTTTCAGGCCTTTGAACATATTTATTGTATCTGCTTTAAAGTTCTTTATCTATTAATCATAAGATTTAGATTTAAATACAGTAATAATTATTAACAAGTGAAAATACATAGTTTTCTTACTTTTCGACAGCAGATCTTTTCTGTGACTTACTCTTGTAATTTAATGCCATCTTAGTTTCCATTCCAGTATAAACAGCAACACCTATAGAACAAAATAGAATCCTTTTACAACAATCTTCTGATATGTTCACAGGAAATGAATGTACTTACTTGCATGCAAGCTTCTAAGAAAAAGTACTGTCAGGTGTGGGGGTGCACACTTATAACACCAGCACTGGGGAGACTGAGGCAGGAAGATTGCTGTGAGTACGAGACTAGCCTGCATTATAAAGTGAGCTCAAGGTCAGCCTGAACTATACATTGAGACCCTGTTTCAAAAAGACAGACAAAAACAAAA